TTAATCTTGTGCTGTCAAAGAGAAGACAGCCCATAAAGAATGAGCTACAGTATATGCTTGGAGATTGTATTAGCAAGGGAAGTTTACTCGTATAACAAAAATAGGTCTATGCAGTAAATGTGCTGCTCATTATCAGATGTAAAGTGCTTGTTTAACAAGAGGTGAGTATCTATATGAATTATGAATGAATATATATTGATATGTGTAAAAACAGGCATAAACAATCATAAATGTGTATTAGAATAAATAGTATTTATTCTGGTTATAATTTCTTTAGCAAACCTGCATGATTACTAGATGAAGCTTTTCATTTCACTGGAGCTGTATAGATGTTGATCCGTATAATTCCTGTAACAGCACAAATAGTACTAGCTGTTTTTGTCAGCTTAGAAGTGACCAACTGGGTTGAGTTTGCTGTCCATCTTTAGGGTTTAGAGAACCCACAAACCCCAAATCCTCTTTGCTCCATTCAGAAATAAGTTCACTTCTGTTTACTACAGAGTTATTGAGTTATGTTTTGGATAAAAACGGATCACGACAGGCCAGTTTCTGTTCTCATTGCTCTTTTATTGCAGGTGTAGGGCAGTCCGAGTTTGCTGTGGCAGACATGGTAGACATGTTTGTGTTACTGATTCCACCTGCAGGGGGCGATGAGCTGCAGGTCAGTCAACCGAGGAACAGAAATTACACAGGAGGTTGCTGGAACTCAAGTTTGATCACAGCTGTATGACCAGGCAGTTTGGAACTAAATTTAAATCTATTCATTAATTAAATAAATTTCACTGTACAGCAGTATCTTAGCTTTAAATTGATGTGTAATTTTCCAAGCTTCTGTTAGTTTTTCATATAGCGCAATGATAGAAAACGAAATTTCTAGAATGATACCTGGGTCACGATCCACTATAAGCCGTTTTAAAAAAGGATATGTGCTTAAATAATAAATTCGAATTTATTGAACATAGCTTGTTTGAGTAGCAGATAGCACTGCTTGCCACATAGCTCTTGATCCTGGGTATCCAAGGCAATGTTTGTTTACATAGAGCCCTTATCTTTACTTCAAAGCAGCGTAACCCAATACAGTACATCCATGCCTTGATTAACTAATGTAGCTCCTTTCTAGAAAACCTGTTTGTAACGTTAAAATTTTTAACCCCCCCAAAGAAATTCCCATTACTTTTCATGTAAAACCTTCCAAAATGTCTCCAAGGTCTAGAAAATCACTTATTTATTTGTATCCTAATGTTGGACTGGGTTGTCAGTAAGAGCACTGTTGTGCTTGTTGACGACAATTGCCCTGTTGAGCCAAGTACCTTGGTTAACGATATAAATAAAATGTGTAAAAAAGATAAGAATCAGACACACTGGGGACCTGTGTTGTAGTAGGCAGGTGTGGGAGGTCACACCATGAGGGTGACCTCTTCTGTTAGTGGACGAAGGACGTGTCCTCACTGTAGTGAAAATCTCTTTGTCACGGGAAACACGGGTATGAAAATGCCAGATTCTTTGCCGCAAATATCCGTTAACCGGGTGCTTGGAAATTGAAGGTTGAGTGTATTGCATTTAATGTTCATGTTCTGAAAAACATACCTGACCAGTTTCCATTGACAATTTCACCTGCACAGGGCATCAAAAGGGGGATCATTGAGATGGCCGACTTGGTCGTTGTGACTAAGGCAGACGGAGATTTGCTGGTTCCTGCGCGGAAAATACAAGCTGAGTACACCAGCGCTTTGAAACTGCTCAGGAAGAAGTCCAAGACGTGGCAACCCAAGGTGGTTATAGTAGTAAAGGGGTGATTTATTCATTGTGAAATGTAGATATACTATGTACCATATGCATTTAAGAGTTTAATCACAACTTTGTGCTTTAGGATAGATTTTGCTTTAACTGGTAGAAAAGTATTTACTTAATAGAGATCACAGATGTGGAAAACCAATCAAGAGAAAGTGATGGGACAGAGGCAGGGCCTGTGTTAGCTTATGCTCCTGTGTGAACACCTGCCACACTGCACATCGTCATCAGGATCCTGTTAGCATCTGCTCACCTGTCCTTTGTCGCCACCTAGTGGCACTGTCAGCTTCTCTTTTCCGTTTTTATTTAAAAAACAGTAAATTCCTCATTTACTCTCAACTCCAATTTGCTTAATTGGTTATATTAAAGGAGCATTATGCTCTGTGCCTAAAATATGCTATAACTCCTGTACAGGACCTTAATTAATTTCCAGGGAGATGGTGCACAAACATAGGTTTTGTCATTATTCATGTGAAATTGCTTGTTCAAAAACAATAGGGGACATTATGGTGAAGTGCTGGGACTAAGAGATTATGTCTTGAAATGAGTGCTCAAGTTTTCACACATGAAAACATAAGAACATCATAAAAGTTCCAAATGAGAGGCCATTTGATCCACCTATCCCATTTGGTAGTAACTGATCTCATCCAGCTGTTTTTTGAAAGAGGTCATATGAGACTGATATAGACTTACGTATAAACTTCACCAGTATGGTTGGATAGCATGTTCAACACTTCCATCACCCGTTGTATAAAGAAGGGCCTCCTGTTCTTGGTTTTAAATGCACTTCTACACAGTGGAGGTGTGGACCCTGGATAGGATGCTTTTTCAAGAGTTTGTAGCGCAAATGAAATAGAAGTATAATATATCTTTTTCGTTAATACTTTTAGAAGCTTTTTTTATTATACCCACCTGATTTGATAGCTGTTTTATTCAATTCTTGGCTTGCATCTACAAACCCCTACGGTCTCTGATGCTTCGCCTCTTGATGCCTCCCAGGCCACGCAGCCCCATACAGGATGTTCAGCACACACTGGAGGAGGGGAGAGTCCCAGTCCAGCAACAGGCACCTGGGAGGCTGGCATGGGACACTCGGTCAATTGGGAATCTCAGTCACAGTCGGCTAGTGACGTTGCCCAGGCTCGAAGATCACAGAGCTCATCTAGTGTGTGAGGAAGTCCCTTACTCCGTTGTGTCATTCCACAGCCCCCTGTAGTCTTTTCACGGGATAGACGTGCATCTTTACCAGTGATGTTGTAGTAATAATAATAGTGCGCCAGAACGCTCACCACACATCAGCTATCAGTGGGAAGGAGAGCTGAGTGATGAAGCCAATTCATAGATGGGGATTATTAGGAGGCCATGATTGGTAAGGGCCAATGGGAAATTTGGCCAGGATGCCTACTCTTTTCAAGAAACGCCCTGGGATTTTTAATGACCACAGAGAGTCAGGACCTCGGTTTTGCGTCTCATCTGAAGGACAGCACCTGTTTACAGTATAGTGTCCCCATCACTATACTGGGGCATTACGACCCACATGGACCGCAGGGTGAGCGCCCCCTGCTGGCCCCACTAACAGCTCTTCCAGCAGCAACCTTAGTTTTTCCCAGGAGGTCTCCCATCCAGGTACTGACCAGGCTCACACCTGCTGAGCTTAATGCTGAGTGCTGCGAACGTCAGACAGCAAATGTATACCTGTGCGGTAGTCATCCTTCACTACCGCACTGCTGTTTGCATGATTATTTTTCTCCTTTTATATTTCTTTTGGTTCTGCCATAGACCTACTACAAAGATATAACTACTCCAACAAACAGATAATTTCCTACCACACTAATTTCCTACTAGAATTACTACTTCACTCGCACTCCTCTGTGACTACTCTACTTCATACAAGACGTTTGCATCTCAGTCAGGCTTGGCTAACACTTCACGCTAATACATCCCCTAACAAAGCAGGTGGTTTGGAATCTTCGTCATGCGTGCAACCTGGAATTATGGTCCTTCAGCAGGGTCTTTCACAACAGGCAGTGTGATGGATAGTGTGCAAGGTTAGCGTAGTGTTGTGCTTTTCTTATTAGAGGCCAACTGGAATGACAAAATATTGCAAGTACTTTTGTCTTGAATCAGTAAATCAGTGTGCTGTTCCTGCCCTGCGAAACTGCGGTTGCCACACAGATTTTAAATCTTCCGTTTACTTTTGCTCTCCATCACTGGGCTGCCTTAGATAAAGAGGCATTATCTGGACAGGCTGATAATTCAGCATTTAAGAGTGCATTACAAATCATTGTATGTAATGATTTGTATGCACAAAAAAGAGGTAGTGAGCTTCAGTCACTAATAATGTTTCGAGTTGAAATTGGCTATTCCACATGAGGTGAGTGTGACACAATTAATTGGCGATTCTAAATTAAATAAAAGAAATGCATCTTCAAGTGCATGACATTTGGCTTGAGAACACTGGCTAAATTTACATGGTCTTCCAGGGTCTGTAAACATTTGTGACAAAAAACGGGATTTGAGCAGTAGCAGCAAAAACATAAAAGATGAGCTAACATGATTAATCGTTGACAATCAGGACCAAGGAGCGCAAAAGCAGTGTTACGTAATTCCACAAATTTTGAGTTCAAGTGGAGAAAAAAATCAGATTTGGTCTTTTGGCTACGGAGAGGTCTATTGTTAGGGAGTAGGAGAGCAGGTTAATACAGGCAGTATTCGTGCAGTGTTTGGCAAACATGAAATTCTCAACAGGCAGTTTATCCCGCTGTTGCAGTGAGTGTCTTCTCTTGTCCACCGCTAGGTGGTGCAGGTGTCCTCCCGTACGGGGCAGGGAGTTCCTGAGCTCTGGGCTATGCTGACCGAGTTCCAGGAGGCCATGCTGCGGAGCGGTGAGCTGGTGTCCCGCAGGCAGGGCCAGCAGAAGGTGTGGATGTGGAACGTGATCCAGGAGAGCGTGCTGAGACTCTTCCAGGAGCACCCGGCCGTGCGGGAACAGATCCCCGAGCTGGAGCGCAGGGTCACCAGCGGAGCCCTCTCCTCCGGACTCGCGGCAGATATGCTGCTCAAGGCTTTCTCAGCAGGGCACTGACAGGCCGGAGTGGAAGCAGAGCTGCAAGCAGAACGGCAGCCTGGGGCTGTTTCCTTTCTATCCAGAAACAACACCTTCTTGTTTTACTTCAGGAGCAGCCAGGTTCTCTGGCATCTTTTAGAAACCAGGGGGGAGAAAAACAACATTTTACTCAGTTTGTCTTGTTTTTTTTCCAGTTTGAGGACATCATTTCAATCAAAATGAATAAATAAAAAAGTATTAAACCTGAGCTCTTGGGGAAACTGTCCGTGGTCCTACAATTTTTGCTTTATTTTAAATACCACTTTGAAAACAAGCGCTTGTATGACTGTACCATTTTGAATCTAAAATCTTGACTCCTATTTTTTTTTAATTATACCTCTTCGTACGTTCAGCCTTTGGACCTGTGTGCTGTATCGGTGTGATGTTCATCGCCATGTTCTGTCTTCAGAAGGGTAGAGCCACAATGAAAAACATCCTTATTTGGAAAAACTTTGTTTTTGTTATTGCAGTTGTCCATGGTCTTCTTTAATTTGAAGTTGCAGGTTGTGTATTAAGCCCCCTCACTGATTATTGATGAAGTTGTCTCACGGAAGTGAACCCTGACTCGTGTTGTTGTGCAAGCTTGCCATTTTAACACCACTGTGAGACTCGCTGTGCCTTGTGGGACAGTTGGTGTCGATGCCAGCACAGCTTGCAGTTTACCCAGCCCATGCCTGCCACAGCATCAGCCATAATGCACCACCCTTTGAGTACCCATGTCACACGTTTCCCACGATGAACCAGCAATGTGTCCTGACTGAAGGACCACACCTGGACCACAAGCTAGCACAGGGAGTGGTTGTGAACTTTAGTCTCTACCTCAGTTGCTTGACTTTCATGTGTCTTCAAGCCCTGAAGGGACTTCATTTGTTAGAGCAGGCTGTAGTATTTGTGCCCATCTGTTGAACCTCATGGACTACAGAAACAGTTGGTTATTATGGAGATTAACTTTATGGCTTTAAAGTAGAGTACAATATCCTGAGAAATGTTTGGGGGACTTTTAACTCACACAAATGACCAGAACACTTCAGAAGCTCTCAGCGGCTATTTGTCACTGATCCTTATTATATTGCCAACACAGGCTGGCATTTAACTGAATAATTAAACTGGAGAATGCTTCTCAAACGGCATGGGTCCCCTGGTGATCCACTGAGCTAACTGCCTAAAGGTGTTAGCACGTGATGAACTAGATTTAATATACTGGAGCAGCAATGTGCTTTTGTAACTGAGTTTTACTGTGAATTAGGTTCATTCTGCTTCTCACGTCATACATATTGAATGAGAACTTGAATCAACATTAGAATAATATTTCACTTGAAACAATGTTAATTTGCAAGAGGCCTGGGCATTGTTTTAAAGGCAATAGTCTTGCTGTGTTGCATTGAGAGTATAAGGAGTCCACAATTTGATTGTTTGGTTGCAAATAGGTTAATGAATCCTAGAATCTCATGGAGCCATTTCATGAGATCTCAAACAGTCAGCATCCACAGGGTGGACTGGTTTCTGTCCGCTATGCTTCCCATCTTAATTTCCACTTGTAACCCCAGGTCCTTGTTTCACATGGTTGAGCTTCTACAAGTGCCTGGTCTTGATTTTTGTCAGTAGAAATTGTGAATATTTGATTTAAACCTTTTTAACTTGCCTCTATGAGAGAAAATGCTACTTTGCTCCATTATTTACCATCTTCTATTTAACTCCTTCTTTCTTGATACACCATCTTTAACTGTTCTGACAATGTGCTTTCTCTTACTCTGTCTAATGCTTTTTTGTGATTAGGATTTGTGGCTCACTGTATTGTTCATACTTAAAGTATTATTCCCATATGAAATATTTTTCTTTTTGTGGATGTCGTTCCAATTAATTTTCGTCACTTACACCACATCTTCCTGGGAGCTGACTTGCTAACCTTGGGGCTCAATTGGCTCTCTAGCCATCCTTTATTTATTTTACAGTATGTAGTGTCATGTGAAACCAGTTTAAAATATATATTTTTCCCATAAGGCAAATACAGTGATAGTGTGATATTTGTGGCCCTTTGTAAAGACCATAACATCAATATTCCTAGGAGTCAAAACTTTGACAAAACTGAGGAAAATCATTTTCGTTCAATGCTGGCTGTTTGCCATCACTGATTTACTTGGCTCTCCTTGATTTAAGGCCTCACAGGAAATAGAAAAAAGGCTCTTGAGATAATCACCAGAGTTATTGCGAAGAGGGGAGCTTGATTGACCTCTGTTAATGCATTTATGTGAATAATTACCAAATCCCTTTCTTTGTACATTTTGGAAGATGATATCAGGATAAATCCTGCATGGTGACTCACTGCTATAGGGAAGATTGCTGCCAGCTCCAAAGAAATGAAATCCAGCTGCTTCTCCAGTGACTTTCGTGCTAGGCGTGTTCCTGAATAGAAATCAGAGCCGGGTAAGTCAAGCTTTTCCCCAGTTACCCTTAGAAAATGAATGCCTGGGTATAGATCCATCCTCAACATTTAAAAATTGAGTTATTTCATAACAAATCAGCTTGGGTTTTTCAAAGTTGTTTGTAACATTATTGTTTTACAAACTCCACTTAGGTCCTGTCAAGTATTTCACTTTCCACGATTATGAAATATTCAAAAACAATTCAGCTTTTCCTTAAGACAGAAAATTGAATCAGTTTAGCCCAAACTTAAATAGCCTGAGCTGTCTCACTAACTGGAATCAGCTGTTTAATTACTGCATCCCATAAAAAAAATCCTGAGACTATTGTTACAATATCCTACTGGCTGCAAACAAAATGAACAAACTTCAGTAAAGTACTCTAGGAGCCCTGTTGAAATTCGAGGTTGGTCTCTTCCCTTCCTGTGTAATATTTCTACCTGACTGAGAGTTCTCTTTGCCTCTGAATGGATGGAACTATCTTCCAGCATTTAATATCTGTTAGGTATTCTGTCTCAATTGGATCAATGCAAGAGTCTCACAGAGTTAGTCTGTAACAACTTCTAGGAAAGTGTGCCAAACCATTGTGGTCCAGCAGCATGCAATAGAGGAAACATGAGAAATTACAAGAGAAGAGCACAAGGTAATAGACTTTAAGGTCATTTGGGTGCCAGTAGACAAGACATAGCAGAGGAACAGTACTGATACAGTACAGCCTTTGTTTAACTTAGTGAATGACTTATGGGTGATTTCTGACTTTGGTTAATGTAATCTCCTCCTTGTAACCTTAAGCACAGTTTTTGATAATGTCAATAGAGACATTTTACTGGACCATGCAGAAAGTAAATTTAATGGTCACTAGATCTTCCTTTTGCTTGTTTGGATTCTATTGACCTAATAGGGACCTATTTGTAAATCTTGGCTATGTAACATTTGAGGATTTGTTGGGGATTTTGGCATCAGTGTTGATGGTGCTAAAATGAGAAATTAATCAAAGTTAGAAGCCTGGGTGTTATTTCTGACCATATATTGTCATTCAAAGCTCATGGTAGAAACAGCACATAATTATATTTTTTCTGATACTCTGTTTGATACTGAACAATGAGTTATGTTATGATTATTTCTTTGCCAGTGGTTTGTCCAGCGTCAATTGATGTTTGGTGCTGCTCCTATTTCTTCCTGTCATCTGCAGATTTTATCCGTTTTTTTAACTGTAGCACAATTGATCGTTGGATCCTTGTGGTAATGTGCTAATCACCTCCCAGTTACAGCTCTAGCTTGTCCTTTACTGACAGGACACCAGGAGGTGCTTTTTTACACAGATGTTTGTGGGAACAAGCTACCCAGCCATGTTGTTGAAGTCACTACCCTAACTCATGTTGTAAATAATACCTATACGTGGGAGGAAGTCACAGCTGCACTGTCACAATAGTGACTTAGCGTTCTGTCCAAAGGCTCATAACATGCCTTTTGATGGTTGCTGTGATGTCAGGATTGTGTGAATGCAATCATACCGAATGCCAATATATTCTTGCTTTCACTGTGACAACATCGTCCGTTTCCTATAGAATAAATATTTAAATTAGCATTAAAGTGTTCTGTAACAGTGCAGCGTATGTCCGTGCAACTGTTATTAGGACAAATTTGATTATGCCAAAATTATGTTGAATCTACCCCGTAAAAATGAAATAATCTGTTGTCACATTTTCACAATCCACACAGTCTCCCTGGATTCCCACAACTTTCAGTCTGAGATTTAATCATTTCATATCAAAGGTTTTCTGGAAATTTAAATATACAATTTCATAAGCATTACCTGTATCCATTATTATTGCTGTTGTGCATTCAAAGCCATATAGCAAGCTATTTCAACGAGACATACCATTTGCTGTACTCACTGTCTTTAATCATTTTAGTGGCACATTGTAACTTTCAGATTTATATTTAAGGGGATGTCATAGTGGTTCCAGTGCCGCAGGTTATGTCATAGTGGCTCCAGTTCCAGTTCTCTCATAGACAGAATACCCTCCTCTCGTTTCTGACCTTCCTTCTGTTCTCCTGGTTTATCCCCCACCTTTGAAAGACATGCAGTCCAGTTTGGTTGGTGTCTCTTAATTGTCTTGTGTGTGTTTGTCATGAGTTGAAATGGTACCTGATTCAGGGTGTAGTCCTGCCTTGCGCCCTGTGCAGGATAGGCTCCAGGGTGCCTTGAACTTTACCAGGAGAAAAGAGCTTTCAGATCATGGAAGGGTATTTTCCTAAGGTTACAACAAATAGATGTGAGACTGACTGGTTTATAATTGCCTTCTTCTCTTTTGTCCCGTTTTGTGAACGGATAAACTGTAACATTCCAGCATTCCCTGTTTTCAGTTCCTGCTGAAGGATGCTACTGAGTTGTGCGCGTGTGACATCCTTCATGTGTTTGAATACTTTAGAAAAATTCCACCAGGCTTGGCTGACTGAACTAGACGGGGAGGATCACAAAAGCCAGATCCACAAATTCTGAACTGGAATTTAACCAGGACACCAGGGTTAGAGCACCTCCTTTTTGCGATGGCGACATCTTTAAACTTCAGCCTTTGAATGAACAAGTTGCCCTTTTCAGCACAGTTGAGCACAGGTGTGAAACGAAAGCTGTTGAATCTTTTGCCCTTCTTTGAGTTTGTGAAGAGAACTTTTTTTCACTTGTCTATTCTGAGAATTATTGTCCTAGATAAAAATGTAGGCCTATGTGTTTTCTTGAATAGTCCAGATGCCCTCTTTGCCTGTGCCCATTCTTTCCACATGCCCTCTTCCTCCTTGGGCAGAGGTCCAGGTGGCCTTGTTTTGACAGAAAGACCAGCTGCCAGTGGACACAGGACGCATCTGGCTGCCACACTTAGCCTTGTACTCTTTAAAACTGTCATATCTGTCGCTGTTCTTCTCCACAGAACAGCACTAAAACCAGCATTCCTGTAAAAGAGAGTAAAATTTTATCTGCCCAGTAACATCTGCATGGGAATTATGGAGAGCAAAACAAGGGGGAAAGATTTCCTGGTACTATTTTTGTGTGTGTTTGAGAACACAGAAGTACGCACAAGAGGGCAGAAAATGTTTGGTCGTGACATTTTGTTTTTAGGTTGCCAAGCGCCTGTCCAGAGAGACTGAGAATTCGGTTTGTGTAAGAGTGGCCATACAGTTGGCACGTATTGGTAACAGTTCATTGCAAGCAGTTTTTTTCTACTCTGGCCAGTTTGTTGCTGGCAATGTCTCCGTTTCGTCAGCTGTGAGAAATAAAGCAGGTTGGCATAATTTTTCGCCTGACCTTCAATGATTAGATTGAAAATGTGATTCTTCTTTTTTTCTAAGCATAATTCTGAGTACTCTTGCTTCCTTTTTTACACCCGGTAATTGTCCAATCAACTACTGTATGAATCTACCACAAAGAATGTGTACGCACCTTTTAAAATGTCCAATATTGAATTATGCAGCTTTTTGTACAGTAACTAGTATTACTAAAATCATTTTAGACTGATAATTTAATGCTGACAAAATATTACACTGAGCTCTTTCCATTAAACAATCCAAGTATTTCCACACATTTACAATCTTTCCCCAATTCTAATTATGAACTAGTTTAAAATGAATACCAATAGGAAACATTAATGCAAAAGGTGGTCATTCTGACAGTACTGCCGGAAATTTAGATTTTAAATTACCCAGCTGGTTATATCACCACTGACTGTAAATCTCTTGATATTGGTGTTTTAGCGTAATCTCATAAAACTTCAAGCATGTGGCTCTTCATGATCCTGCAATCAAATTAATATATTTTGTTATTATTCTTTTATATTGGATTGTACAAAAAGTTTGTTTCTGGCTTTGTAATGTAATTCAGGAAAGCCAGAACGAGCGCTGACATGGGTAGAAACCTTCTGAAGTTAGAAAAGGTGGTATTTCCATTTCTGGGACAGCGAATAATTCACTTTAAAGAATGACATTACATACAGTAACTGAAAATATCAAAATGCAGAGGAGAACAGTCGAGCTGGCTGGTTTCTATGTGACTCTTCATTCTAATCCTAGAAAACCGTGTTTTGTCCTGACCAGAAGGTAAATCTTCTGAGCTTGAGGTCTTCCCAGATTGATGTTTAAAGCAGTTTTGCCAAGTTGCAGTAGCTCTTACCATCGCTCTGTACAACAAGAGCCATAGGAGCGCTGGTGTCAGTGGAGCAGATGGGAACCTACTTTAACATCTCAACCACAAGGCCGCTGTCCTGGCAGCGCAACAGACCTACAGCACAGCACCAGGTTGCTGGCAGAAGGAAGAAGGTCCAGGTGTCCCTCCTGCAAGCTGCAAGCTGCGAGGAGGACAGAGCGCTAATGATTTCATCATTGCTGCTTCTCGCACACGACGGAAGGGTAGAGCTTACCTCCTTGGACTGGACGATTTCAGATCATGTTATTTAGGAATTACAGAAGCCTTTTTTTCCCCGCTTTTCAGTCGGATGGAAGATAGGAAATATTGCTGCTCATTTAAAGCTGAAACTAAGTGCTTCTATAATATTTACTGTAGGTCTTGGTCAGTAATGATATTCTGCATAGTCCAGAAAGATAGACTCCTTAGGTGATAATTATTTGTATAATTTGTATAGTGATCGGATCATTTCTAAAATTAAAATGTTCCTTTACTCCAAGAAAGAAGGTGACATTGGGGGAAAAAAATGACAAAGGAGAGTGGATTGTTTTAAACTATTTCTATGGTGTTAGAATGCATGTACAGTGTCAAAGAATATGTGTCGCTCCCCAATATAATTATGGGAATGGGAATTACAATCCTTGTTTAATCAAAAGCAGTCTTTTCTGAAATAACCACAAGTTTATATTGACCGATTCAATGTTTTTGAGATAAATTTGTGTATGAAGTAGAAAAAGGAATAAGAATTAGCACAGTTAAGGGGGTAATTAGAATCAAGTGGTTTAACAATTGGGTGACAGGTAAAAAAGGGCAGGGTTTGTGCATCCCTGTCCTGTACAGTATACTGGCCAGAAGCTTTGTGAGTTTTTTGTTTTCCATACACATTAAAGGAAACATGTCAAACCACGATCACCAAAAATTTAGAGGATCTCAGAAAAAGAGCAGTTATTGCTCATTGCTTTAGAGAGGGTTAAAAAATCATTCCTTAACATTTGGGGCTGCATCTGTGCACTGTCAGACAGTCTACAAATAGACAATATTCAACACCACTGTGACTCTACCAAAGGCCAGTCTTCCTGCCCAGATCTCTCCAAGAGCAGCACAGAAACTCATCCAGGACATCAGGCATAACACAATAGTAACATCAGAGGATCTGGTGACCTCTCTCTCTCTGTGGCTACTGTCAGTTTTCATGTCTCAACCATGAGGGAAAGACTGAATGGAAAAGGATTTTCATGGGAGGGTAGCCAGAAGAAACTACTGCTCAATTACAAGAATGCTGCCGCCTATCTGAAGCTCAAAAAAGAGCACCCAGATGAGACACAAGCCAAGGAAGTGGGTTCCTTGGACAGACGAGTCAAAAGTCGGACTTTAGGGTCTCCATGAGAATTGTTTCGTGTGGCCCACACCAAACACTACCTTCCAAAAGAACAATCTTATCCTGACCATCGAGCTTGCTGATGGGAGTACCATGGTTTGAGGCAGCTTTGCTTAAGAAATCCCAAAGTATCTGCTTTAAAAAACCATCTGCTTAGCTATTTTCCGAAACATTCATTCCCTTCATCTGCTTTACCCAAGGGCCCCAGATAGTACTCTCTTGTGCCCAGAAAAAGAAAGCTTTGCAAATTAACTTTGCATAAAAAATTGATTAGGACTCATAGCTCTTCTGCTCTCTAAACAGTAGAAAAGGAGGTTTTTCAGTCTATAAATATTGTAATTCAACTGCAGTGTGAACCTCAACACAATACCCCTGTGAAAGTGTTTCAATAACCGTGTCCTGAAGGAAATAGGGGTTGTGAAGGTGGTGTGATGGGGATTTTGTAAATTGTTTGCTAGTCTTAAATGGGCAAGGACTGTTGTCCAATTGAACTTACAGGGAAGTGAATAAATCTCTCCCTTTACAATTGAGCTAAATGTGAACCTGGATTTGATGATGTGATTGGATGGAGAAAGTTGAACATGAATGTGCCCTAAATCCCTGCACATGGCACCCCTACTTGAACATGCAACCATTAGGAGCTATAGTTAGAAGGCTGTGCTATTTACATCGTGCCTTCCAGCAAATTACCAACTTTGAGCATGTTCCTTATCCACAGCCCCTTCCATACCTCCTTATAAGAGGCTCTGCAGTGTAAAGATCCAACCACTGCCAGTTTTAAAAATAAAAAAAATGACTATACACTGCATTCATCATGTGGTTGCCCGGGAATTTTGAGGAATGAAAGAGAGAGATGCAGGCATTTTACATTTCCATTTAAAAGAAGGTGAAATCCTACAAAACATACATATTTATGTAATTTAAAAAGCTGAATAATTGGCATCAAAAGAAAAGGGTTGAAGGCCATCTGCCTTCCTTGTGTTTATTCCCCTCACGCAGATTTCTGCCTTTAGATATCAACCTCTTCCAGGCAGCTGCTTTTTACTGAGTGAGGGTCAAATGACTATCTAAACACCTTGGCAACAATCGCTGTGCTGCTCCTCGAGATACTCTGAACCATCTGATCTCTAGCCTGTACAAGTCTGTCATGTAGGATCTGTTTGTTTGCTTGAAGTGCTGCTGATGTGGGCGTAGATCTCAGTCGTGTCCGTGCACTTACAGTACAGGAATATGAATCCGCAGTCTTGGGCTGCAATCTTGTTCTCAGAATGCAAACATAAAACGGCTAGCTATTATTTGATAGGACCTAAAATGAGTAAAACACCAGTGTATGTTTTACTTTGAACATTTACTTTGTGCTTTGTAAAATGTGCAAGGTCTTTTGACTATTATGTCTGTTTTCACAAGCATTTCTTCAGCAGACCTGCCTTTTTGCCATTTTCGATACATGATCTCTGTAAACCAGGTTTTCTTATAAGAAAGAGAGACCATGCTGAAAACTTATATGCTGAACACCATAATGCACATGTGCATTGAACATTGGAAACAATCTGATAGTAGATATGTCTTGTAGTTAGCTAGTTTGTATTGACCTATTTGAAGGTGTTTCCTGACAACGAAAATTGTAATGAACGTTTATAACCATTTTTTCATTTCCGAAGAAATAAAGTCCTAATCTTGGCAATTAGTTTTCTTCATGTTTACCTGAAAACGTATTATCTTAGATATTTCCTAATTGTATGTGTTTAAGAAGTCTTCACACCGAACCTTGTTGTATTTCAGGAAGTATACCACAGGACAGTTTGGGCAACCTCATTTTAAAACATACATCTGGCTAATTAATGGTTAAACCGCAGATAAATTGATTTTCATACACATCCAAGGCAATCTCTAGGACAGGGGTGTGAGGCTCAATTCCAGGAGCACATGGTGTATTTTGAGCCTGTCGTTTAGAGATTTATAGTATGTTTCCTAAGATATATTTTCAGTTCATAACTCCAAAAAATTACTTAATTAAAATTGCAGTTTTAATACATTATGAAATTAGGTTAGAAATATTACAATTATGCAGTTAAATAGTTAGATCCCACTGTGTAACCGAAATCCTAGAAACCAAGTAGAGCCTGCAGGAAGTGAGTTTGATGCAACATCTCTAGATCATTTGAGTATTTTTAAGGCACAATAAAATCTAAACTAATCTAAATGGTTTTATGAAACGCCCCTTTCTTTAAAATTTAAGAAGCGGTTTAAGGAAAAAGTTGAAAAACTGAATACTCGTGTTACATTACACGTCTTTTTATACTGAGAATGTGATGACATTTCTGATTTTAAGAAAAATGGTCCTAAAGGAATCTGATTGATGCAAGCCTCACCTGTCTCCTCTTTCAGAAGGTAAGTCGGCCGATTAAAGTGATCCTGGGGGAGGGCGCGACTTTCTTTTGTTCCTTCGCAGAGAACAAACGTACAATGGTTCAAGGCTTTAAGCCAGGGTACCCCTTATAGCCTTAATCATTGCTTGTCTTCGGCTGTCTGTTGCTTAGCAAACAGAATCAACACAGGAGCTCTTTAAAACCTGTTTAAGCACCAACCACATCGAAAAGTAGGCTGCCGACTTGGCGTTTATTTCTTTGTGGAACAAATGCAGTGAAACTTCAACTCCCTCGGCACGGCCACGTAAATTAAAATACTGACGAATTAAACTGACATCACTGATCAGGCGCTGCCTTGCTTAAAGAAGAAATGACATCTTCAGCACCCCGGTCTAGCTACGGAAAAGAGGTATTCAAAAAACGGTGGTTTGACACCGAAGACTGGGAGCTTCTTCAGAGACCCTTGGACCCGTACGAGTTTGAGAGGATTCGGAGGGTTGCCAGATCGTCGTGGGAAGCTGACACCCGAAAACGGCTAGAGAGTTTTACTACCTATAGGGGACAGCATTGCACCAAAACACTGGACGAGCCAACGCAGTGCAGGGTCAGGCCGAGCTCTCCAACTCGCATGGAGAAGCCCCATCCGTCGGAGTAAGAACCCGACCGCCTTCCCGCTGAGCTTCCCGCTAAGTTAATATTTTAACAGGTGCAACTGAAAACGTCGTTTTTATGGCGTTTTTGGTTGTACGCGATACAACTAGCAATGAAATCGCATCTTTCCACCAGCGCATTGGGTTTCTTGGAAAGCGGGAATAAATAAATGCAGTATTATTTTCAGCAATTGTGAGAATTGTAGGTCAGACAAATTATGTTGTAGTGCTGCCCAAAACGCGTCACTCCCCAAAGATCGTATGAGCTTGGCATTTGAAAAATAAAAAGAAACTTAGGTTGTGGCAATGAAACAAAAACCCACTAACCTCATTTTATGCTTTTTAAACGATACCTGGCAGGATAGCATGCTGTACGTATTGTAAAAATGTTTTGGAATTACGTTTTCTTCTTCTCTGCCACTTTCAGATTCCTCCACACCTTTCAATGGTTAATATTAATGTTTTACTTTCCTTGTGTTCCAGAGTTTTTTTAGTGACCAAGCTACATACTGTTTCGGGATACTTTAATTCTGTGGACCACCATGCTGTTGGGAATGCCAGAGGTAAGAGCCCCCTTGCTTGAGAGAACTGACATATTGCCCTCCTTTTTTGTTTGTGAACAAATGTCATGGGTGGTGAACCCCAGATTGCAGGATTCGTCTGCTTTGTAGCTGGCTATATCAACTAGAAATTATAAGGGTAGTAGGATCCTTTCCCCCCACAACAGGTTCTTATGTCTTAGAACCATCAGCGCTGCCACAGATCAGACAAGACAGGTAGTGTTTTTACAGCTACAGTCAAGAGTACTAATGTCTCTTAAAAGAGCACACACAAAATAAGAATCCCCAGGGGACTCACTCACAGAAACACATGAACACTCATGGACCCTAGTTACTCTCTACTGCCACAGTAAAGAAACTCTGTCGTCATTCGGTGGTTTTAGGTATCCTCTTCAGTCTTGACCCGACCCAATCAAAGTGATACCTCTTTGATTGGGTCGGAGACACAATCCACTCAGGTGTCTCCGAGATCGATATCGGGCAGGAGGGGAGGGAGACGATGCCAGAGCCTTCCTCTCCTGCTGTCTGTACAGTCCCCTCTGGCGTCCAAACCTTCTCCAGTGTCCAGTGGCGCAGTCGGTCCCTCTACTCTGAGCCTGCTGCACTCTGACTGGGACTTGTCCTGCCCTTTTCTAGCCAGGAGTCACGACTCGTTATTGGGGAGAGGGAGGTGTCCCTGTGATGGAACAA